GAGGGACCCCTACAGAAAGAGGGAGTGAAGAGGAGGAGGCAGAGTTATAGCTAACGCTGAAGGAGCGCTGTGATAGGTAGGAGGAGAACCAGGAGAGAGCAGAGTCTCGGAAGCCAAGGGAGTGGAGTTTTTGAGGAGGGGGGGATGGTCAACAGTATCAAAAGCCGCAGAGAGGTCAAGTAGTAAGAGTATGGAGAAGTGGCCATTAGTTTTAGCAATCATTTCTCCTTCTCTCAGGCTGCATTCTTGCAGCTATTTAGAAATACTGTGTGAGCTGTGATTGGTAACAGCTTGTCACATGGTACAAGGCTGTTGTGAATAGCCTTGTACCTTGTGACCTCTCTGTGATCATTCACAGATTTCACACGTAGTAAGCAATGATGTCAGAAGTGACATCTTGCTTACTACTCTTCATGTGATCACTGATTGACCAATCACTGATCACATGATCGGGGGACCTCGCACAGAGGTCCCGTACAACGATCGATGTTCCACTGTGTCCGGATCGCGGTGCTGCGCGCTCCCAGGGACACCCACCCCTGCACTGTTCCTGTCGGGCTAGACGGGAAGTGGTTAAGCTCTCCATTAAGGATTGGCACCTTTGGGGAGTGGGTACCCAAATCTCACAGGTACCTGCTCCCACTTCGGCTGTGATCGGAAGCAGAGGTTGTCCTCCCCTCTCTCCTCGCAGTCTTCTGGGACACGTGACAGGTCCCAGAAGACTTGGGCCATTCACAAAGCAAATATTTGTTTTTCTCTAAATTTATTAAGTCCCTTCTCATCTCCAGAGCATACAAATATTTACTTTCCACTCAGATACACCACAATAACTTGTTGGAGGATGATTTGTTTTCTGATTTCTTATCAAAAAAGCAACCAACTTCAGAAGCTGCTCAGGTGAAGTGTGCTGAAGCCTCAATCCTGGAACACTGATCAGTAGAAGGAGGGGTGGGGAAGGAGGAGAGGTGGATCTCCGAACCTTTGCAAGTAGCAGACATGGACTCTCTGGAGCAGCCTGGCAGAGAGAGCCGAGTAATCACACTGACCATCAAAGACATGGGGAGGGAGGAAGCAGAAGAGAGGAAGGGAAATGCAGCGATTATCATCACAAGCCGGACTGAAGCTGCTCGTTTCCCCCTGTAGTAAGGTGCATGGCTCCCCAAGGCTGATCATCTGCTTGCCCGCAGCAGGGCTAAATGTCAAAGAAAACCACCTGCCCGGTGCCCAGAACTGCATGTCTTGGCCGATAGGATTTGCACATTCCTGCACAGTAGACAATGACGGCACCTGGGAACCGAAGAATAGAGAAGAATTGGTTCAGGGGAGGACGACGCTCACCCAAAGAACGGCTTTGATGTGGTATTAAAAGGTTCGGATTTAAAAAATAAACACCTGCTGTGTGCAGTGTTTTTTCACAGAGCAGCCCTGATTCGCTTCTTCTCAGGCACCCTGCCGATGCTTCTGGCTCCTCCCCCTTGACCATTGCACCCAATGGCAAGCCATCTGCTATGAGGGCACAGGTGCATGCTCTCTCTCCCGTGCCCTACTCTATGCATCCATAAGACACATAGAGCCATGGCTTGGCCTGCCCCCTGCTCTCTCCTGATTGGCTCACTGGCTGTGACTGTCTCAGCTAATGAAGTGAAGGAAACCCAGGACAGCCAAGGCTCCTGTGCACAGTAATGGATCGAGAGGGGGCTCAGATGAGTATTGGGGAGGAAGCAGCACACTGAGGGCTTTTTACCTTCATGCACATCATGCAAAAGGTAAAAAAACCTTCAACCTTTACAACCACTTTAAGATAGATCCAGATAGATATATCAATACAACTGCCTGTGTGTTATACAGTATAGACAACACTCCATTTTAATTGTATGCTAAATGAACTGCAGACTCCAGAAACTAGAAAACTCCATATAGAATATGTTTAAATTGTTCTCAAACATTTTCCACTCAAACCCTAAATAAATAGCTCTGACAGCTTCCATAAATGTTACTATAAATGTAACTTTAGTGCACATTTCATATTGCAAATAAGTACTATAATATTTGGTTTTTAAATCCAAATCTATAATTACACATGCTTTCAAAAACCTATATATTGTTTATTTTAATCATTTTACAAAATGCAAAGTGAGCAAACAAAGGAGCATATTTTATCAAAGCAATATTTGGTGCGACCACCCTTTGGCATCAATCCAGCATCAAATGTTATACTTGCACACTTTGTACACTTGCACAAAGTCAGGGATTTTGTACGATTAGAGGTGTATGATTAACCAAATATACCAAGCAGGTGCTAATAATCAACAATTTTATATGTAGGTTTTAACAAAGTCATTAACTAAAACAGAAACAGCTGTGTAGGAGTCTTAAAACTGGGTGAGGAACAGCCAAACTCTGCTACTAAGGTGAGGTTGTGGAAGCCAGTTTCATCTCACAGGTCATTCACTATGGCAAGACTTAGCAGAGCAACAAGACACAAGGTAGTTATACTAAATCAGCAAGGTCTCCCCCAGACATGGATTACAAAGCAGACTGGTGTTTCAAGATGTGCTGTTCAAGCTCTTTTAACCACTTGCCTACCGGGCACTTATACCCCCTTCCTGCGCAGGCCAATTTTCAGCTTTCAGCGTTGTTACAATTTGAATGACATTTGCGCGGTCATGCAACACTGTGCCCATATGAAATTTTTTTTAAATTGTTTTTACACAAATAGAGCTTTCTTTTGGTGGTATTTGCTCGCCGCTGGGTGTTTTATTTTTTGCGCTATAAACAAAAAAAGAGCAAAAAGTTTTTCTTTGTTTCTATTATAAAATTTTGCAAACAGGTAATTTTTCTCCTTCACTGATGTGCGTTGATGAGGCTGCACTGATAGGCAGCACTGATGGGCACTGATAGGCAGCACTGATGGGCACTGATAGGCAGCACTGATGAGGTGGTACTGATGAGCTGGCACTGATATGCAACAATGATGGGCACTGATAGTCGGCACTGATAGTTGGCGCTGATGCACTGGCGCTGATATGCAACAATAATGGGCACTGATAGGTGGCACTGCTGGGCACTGACTGGTGGCGCTGCTGGGCACTCTATGGGCACTGACTGGTGGCGCTGCTGGGCACTGCACTGATGGGCAGCACTGATGGGCACTGGTGGGTGGCACTGATGGGCACAGGTGGGTGGCACTGCTGGGCACTGATGAGCACAGCTGGGTGGCATTGCTGGGCACAAGTGGGTGGCACTGCTGGGCACTTGTGGGTGGCACTGGTGGGTGGCACTGCTGGGCACTGATCATCAGTACCCTGGTGATCGGTGCTGATCCGTCCTCTGACATTTGCCGGTTATCGGCAGTATTTTCCTCAAGCTGTGACAGCATGAGGAAAGTGCAGCCGATAACTGGCAACTGCATTTTACGGTGATCTGCTGTGTCATTGGACACGGCTGATCACATGGTAAAAGGCAGCTGTGATATCAGCTGTATCCTGAGGACACAGCAATCACGGAGATCGCTGGGTGTGCGCCCTTGGGGGCACGCAGGAGGGCGTGTTCTGGGAGGAAGTCATATGACGTCTTCCCAGAGCTAGTGTAGCCATCATTCGGCTATCTGCTGTCGGCAAGTGGTTAAAGAAGCACAAAGAAACAGGCAACCCTGAGGACTGCAGTGGTCAGCCAAGTAAACTTAATGCAACAGATGAAAGACACATCATGCTTACTTTAGTTTGACATCAAAAGATGTCCAGCAGTTACATCAGCACAGAACTGGTGGAAACCAGTGGGACCCAGGTACATCCATCTACTGTCCAGAGAAGCCTGGCCAGAAGTGGTCTTCATTGAAGAATTGCAGCCAAAAAGCCATACCTCCGACATGGAAACAAACCTAAGCGACTCAACTATGCATGAAATCATAGGAACTGGGGTGCAGAAAAATGTTTGTAAACATAGGTGAAAGTTAAAATAAAAATGATCGGAAACTGTTTTCATCTTTTAAAGTACAATTAAGGCTCTTGATAGACAAGTGCACGCCGGAAATTTTCGTTTTGGATGCATTCATTTATTGAAGATTTTTTTTTGTCACATTTGTTATGTTGTTGAACTGATTTGTTTTCAGAATTAATTTCATATCTTCGGCATTAATTTTGTATATTCATTGGACCGGGTGGATTAAAAAAATGTTGCAGTTTTTTCAGAAGATTGCTATGTATATTAGTTTTCGGGTTTCGATATTTCAGGTGGATTCGATATTCATATATCAAGACTATTTGGAAGGATTCAATATTTTCAGACAGAACAGAACAAATAATGAAAAATTTGGCAGCCCTGAATTTTTCAAAATACAATTTAAATCACACATTTACTTGAACTGGAATTATCAAACAAATTAGAAAATTGAATTAATTTCCCCATGGACCGAAACTACTATCACATCATGTGATATTATCCAAATGAAACAAATGCATTCATTAATTTAGTTATAATCTTTTTGATTTCTTGACATTCAAAACAATGTCCATTCTGGATCTCTGAAAATCAGATTTTCCTAAAAATCTAAACAAAACGTGCATGTCTACCTCCTGTATTGTTATACTTGTCTGAAAAAGTATCAAATCCAATTTCTATGTACAAGGTATAGGCTTGTACATCAGCATTAACAATTCTGATAGCCTTGCCCCATGCAATATTTTTTCATTCCATTGTTATGCAAGCAGGCATAGCCTGCATGAGAGTGGAAACTGTATTCTAAATGCAGGAGCAGTGCAGCATTGTTGCCACGCCATCACAGGAAGCTGCATTAGGTGGTCTAATTGGCAGGATCTACAGGTATTTGTGAAACATTTCAGGGAGACTAAGAGACAAATAAGTTAAGATGCATTTTTTAATGGTATGCCATAGTTCCACTTTAACTGACCTCAGAAGAACATGTACACAAGAATTTATGGATTATGCAAAGAATACTTGCCAAATGCTTTTTCAAACATATAAACAAAGCTTTTGCTTACATTCAACAATATTGGAGACCTTGTGTTTTTCATTTTCAATTCACCATGAAATTCTGCAGGCTGCTTTATCAGACTCCAGTCAAATGCATAAGGCACATCTACAAGTGATACACAAAACGGCAGTTAGCCATAAACAATATTGCCAATATATACAGATAAATGCAGGCAGATCTACATATCAGTTTATGTGTAGGAACTCACTGGCCTGGGGTTCGGGGCTTACAAAGACATCAAGTTGAACTTCTTCAGTTGGCAAATCCGCTTCCATGTTGCCAGCTGTGGTTACTGTGAGTGCTGACACTATCATGTAAATTAAAAAACAAAAACACAAAAATGATTTTAGCATAACGCACTTTGTCATTTGCTTCAAAGACACACTGTTCCTATGTTATTATTATCAGCAGCAATTTTCTATCAAAATTATATGTCAAATTACCTTTGTTCTGTATATTGTATATCATCATTATGTTGGGTAGTGACGGGCTGAACACCCCCCCCCCCCCCCCCCCATTTGTTTCACGGTCGAACATTCAAACTTACAAAAAGTTCGACCAAAACTTTGAACAGGGACAATTTACTGAGCAGTATCTTACTGCATCTAGTATGCAGTAAGATACCACTCAGTTACTAACATACTGCATACGTTAACAGGAAGTATTTCAACTTTGTTAAGAATGAAGATTTCCCATAAACCATTGCAGCCATTTTAGCTTCTAGAAAAGATCTTCTCCATTCTCCTTTGAAACACATATGCTTGTAAGTTATTTCATTGTGATTATTAAAGTCACATACATAACTAGATAGCATTTCAATGTATTCAGTGTGATTTGTAGGTAGCTGTTTGCAAGAAATGTATTCATTGTATGCGTTTGTAAAAAAAACGTGTACAAACATATTGTAACTTCAGATTATGTGATTGTATTGCAGTTTAACAGAACTATTCACAGAAGTAACTTCAGTTTTGGAATGAAACACAACGCTGCTTCTGTCAGTTTTGTTAGCTAGCTGCCGGCTAACCATTAGTAGGACAGCATAACCTGGTTTTATTCATATATTTTCACATTCACATTTCACATTCCACAGAAACTGCCCTACTAAAACTCACTAATGACCTACTAACTGCTAAAACCAACGGCCATTACTCCATACTCATACTCCTTGACCTTTCCGCTGCCTTTGGCACAGTTGACCACCCGCTCCTCCTCAGTAAACTCCACTCCATTGGCCTCCGTGACTCTGCTATCTCCTGGTTCTCCTCTTACCTTTCTCAGCGCACTTTCAGTGTCACATACAACTCCTCCTCCGCTCCGCTTCCTCTTTCTGTTCGGGTACCCCAAGGTTCTGTTCTTGGACCCCTCCTTTTTCTCTCTCTATACCTCCTCCCTGGGCCAACTGATAACCTCCCATGGCTTCCAATACCACCTCTATGCTGATGACACCCAGATCTATCTCTCCACTCCCCAGCTCACCCCCTCAATCTCCTCACGTATCACAAATCTACTAAGCGACATATCAGCATGGATGTCACATCACTACCTTAAACTCAATCTTTCAAAAACTGAGATTGTAATATTTCCTCCTCCCCGATCCCCCACTCATGACTTTACCATTAAGATCAACAGCACAACCATTGGTCCTTCCCCTCATGCCAGGGTGCTAGGCGTAATCCTAGACTTTGACCTCTCCTTTGGGCCCCACATCCACTCACTGGCTAAATCCTGCCACCTAAACCTCCGGAACATTTCCAAAATCCGCCCCTTCCTGACCAATGACACCACAAAACAACTCATCCACGCCTTGGTTATATCCCACCTCGATTACTGCAACTCCCTCCTCACTGGTCTACCGTTAGACAGGTTATCCGCCCTTCAGTCTATTATGAATGCGTCTGCTAGACTCAAACACCTTACCAACCGACCAGTGACTGCTGCCCCTCTCTGCCAATCCCTCCACTGGCTTCCACTAACCCAACGTATAAAATTCTAAATACTAACCACAGCTTACAAAGCCATCCACAACACTGCCCCTAGCTACATCACCAACCTCATCCACAGATACCGCCCAAATCGCCCACTCCGCTCCTCCCATTATATCCTCCTCTCTAGCTCCCTCATCACCTCCTTCCACGCTCGCCTCCAGGACTTCTCCAGAGCCTCTCCCATCCTCTGGGACTCCCTACCACAGCATGTCCGGTCACCCCCCACCCTGTCTGCCGTTAGGCGATCTTTGAAAACTCGCTTCTTCAGGGAAGCTTACCCCACCTCCACCTAAGAACTGTACTTGAATCACCTCTGCCAGATCATCCCCCGCAGCTATCCCCTTTTGTATCACCTCCCCCTTCCTTTAGATTGTACGCTCCCCGAGCATGGCCCTCCTATTCCTTCTGTGCTGAAATGTATTGTAATTGTACTGTCTCCCTTATATTGTAAAGCGCTGCGCAAACTGTTGGCGCTATATAAATCCTGTATAATAATAATAATAAATAATAATAATTTGATGGGACATCAGCAACTCCAGCTAGACTAAAAGCTGTCAGTCAAAAATGTATTTATGTTTATGGTAAAAACCTAAGGCAAAACTTTTTTTTATTTATTTTGGATAGAATATGGGATGTTTATAACACCTGTCATTTTTTTTTTTGTCTCATTGGAGAAATTTCCCTTCACTGCTTTTCCCATAGCCAAAGCAGGAAGTGACAGGAAATCTCTCAAAAGTAAGGAGATCCCTGATTATCACCAGGGTTACCAAAACTAGTGCTACTATTAGATTTCCCCTCTATTACTGGTCTGTTGATAACCCAAAATTTGTGATTTTCTATCACTTTCACTTTCGTTGATAATGGTATACAGGACAAATAGAGAGGGTAAATCATCCTAATGGGGCCAATAAAAAAACTGAAAGGTGTTCTAATCCCTCTTCACTCTATCCAAAACTTTGCAAAAAAAAGTTTTGTAAAAGCCTTTGGTTATGCTTTAAGGTTCACTGAACAGGCAGAGAGGCTGAGAGTAGAAGCTCAAACAGCAGAGCACTGAATAATGGCACCCATGACACTCCATGCATGTATGGATTACTTCATTTTTTTGTGCACTATCAACGCTGCTGCAACTGGCAATTTTCTTTGATTACTTTATTGGTATATGATTTTACTGGTCTCCTACTGCAATTAAAAACTGGTATCTTAAGGGTGAAAAAAAGCATATCTAATAATGTTTCAACAACGCAGTGATTCATTTGGTTCATCTTAAGGCCCTTTTCACAAGGGCTTTCTGATCAGGTTTGCCTGTTTTCAGTATGGACCTGATCAATGGACCTGTTTTTTTGTGCAGACCTGAGCAGAAGCTCAATGCAGGTTATAATGCCTATGAAATGTGTTGGCCTTGGACCCTTTGTTTCTTGGGTTATTTTTACAATAAATCATTTCTCTAAGCCAAAGGAACAGAGTCACAAGAGATTCTGCTTAGAGCAAGATAAAAAATTGAACATGTTTATGGCATCTAGCATGTCACATTAGAAGATAAAAACCTGTTTAAAGATGTCTACTTGCATGAGAAGTTAGAAATCCATAAGTTTAGGGTAGATGAGAAGAAGTTTAGGGTCGATAAGAAGCAAAAGTGTGACTTTTCAGATAATGAATATGGTGGTTGAACGTGACGCTTATCTTCGCGGAACCCTTCTGCTAGCTCCTCCAATGGTGGGTGTGGCGCCTGACCACTATTGCACAGCTTCCAGAAAAATGGTTTCAAATCCAGGCAAGACCGGTAGGAAGTCTCCTCTCCCTAGTTGCCAGAGGACGCTCTGACGCTGGGATTTTTGCCAAGGCTATGTGGGCTCATCAACTGGTTGCGCTTAAGGCTTCCCCGTGACCCCCTGGCAGTATGGTTCCGATGGGATTTGTTCCTCCCAGCTTCTAACATAGCTTTAATAGTGTATTAATTCTATGCTGTGTCTATTTCATGCTGTCATGGTCACATTATTATTGGTGTGTGTTATTATGCAGATTGTGATGACTATAAGATATATCCTCCTGTGTGTCGTGTCATAATAAAAGTGGAGGTTTTGACAGTGCAAGAATATTGAAGTTGAATTCTGTTATTGCTTGCAGTACTGGGTGAATGCTATGATGTGCCATGGCAGGTGTTCATTTGGTAGATGGTCTTTCACATGAGTAGAATATGTAATGGTTTAAAAGGTACCTGCATGACTACATGTTGATTGTGTGCATGTATATGACTTGTTTTTAGTTATTGCACCCAGCATTTGTATTACACAGGTCTATGGCAGACTGATTTAAACAGAATTGTGTTTCTTTACAGCCATCTGCCTCCGAATCTGTTCAAAACATTTTGGACCAGAGGTAGCCTGATGTAAACAGACACAAGAATGTTTACATTCAGCTGCCCATATGGCCATCATGAATACACACACCACTGTCTGCTGTCAAAACGCAGATAAAAACTGGACAGGCAGAGATGTTGCAGAACTGACACCTGTCCCGTTGTGCTCCAATTCAGCATTCTGAATCTGCTCGTGGGTCATCTGCTGAATGGAGCGGAGCATCCTTTGTGAAAGGACTGTTTAGAAATTAGGGATCCTGTTTATTGTGAATGAACATATTTCCATCTGATATGCAAGTCCAAGCTGCATTGCATATCAGGTAAAAAAAAAAAAAAAAAATCACATGGAGCCGCATTTGAACTCTGCTCAATCAGAAAAAAATACAAATTCCTCAAAATTTTTCAACCTGCCAGATCATTTTAGAAAACAATACAATTCTCTCAAAGGACTATCTATTCTATGCATAGTTCAGCTGGAATTACTTGTATTCTGCATCCACCTTTCATTGTATTCAATAGGCTTAAAGCGCAGCTTCAGTCAAAATACTGTAAATTTTTCATTTTGGATAGAGCATGGAAGGAATAGTTTCTCTGCCACAGGAAGCCTATTTGGCCAGCAGTATGGAAGATTTCAGTAGGAGGCTGTGAACATTGCTGCAGGCTGCAACTGTCGTAGTCAGGTATAGTTTGGGGAGGGAATTTCTGGCACTTTTTATCAGCGGGCTACATATTCAGTCTTGCACAGTTTTTCAGTAATTGTAAACCTGCATGGGAAATATTGGTTACTATGGGAAATATTGGTTGCTGTCCTCATTGTATCTACTTACTTGGAAATTGGGCAGCGGAGGTAGGCAATGCATTGATAGTAATGGATGGATTCGATGGCATAGCAGTGGCTGTGTTTTCTGCAACCTCCTGGTGCTCTGGTACTAACTGCTCAGCTGAATGGTTTTCATTCCTCTCTGTAACATCAGCAAAGACTTTGTCCAGAATAGCAGAATTGGGGGTAAGTGTTGGAAGCTAAAAAGCATGATTTAAATAAAGATGATCAAGATATAAGATGGACACTGTAAACATTTTACGCCATACATACATACATAGAGTTTAAAAGGCCCTTTATCAGAAAATATGGTAACTGCAATTGCTGATTTGTTTTGAAAGGTGCATGCTCTTACACAAGGTGAAACTCCTACACAATTTCTTCCACAATGAAACAGGATTTATCAACTTCTTTCACACCAGAAGAGGTCCAGAAAATATTACTCCTTACCATGAAATCATCAATCTGCACCAAAGTACAGGAGTCTAACTATAAAATTATTTCCCATTGGTACAGGAGCCTGTCTAAAATACTTAACATCACCACATCTGTCTCCAACTGGTGCTGGAGATAGAAGACAGAAGAAGGAACACTCCCCCACAACTTCTGGTCTTGCCATAAATCTAGTGATTTTTGCCATAATGTCAGGCAAATCCTCCAGCAATTTACCGATTACCATATTTCTTTTGAAACATCCTTTTTTCTCTCGAACAAGAACTGGATGTCCACTAAAATATAGCAGAAATCATTCTAAAGACACCTCCTGAATGCAGTCAAGGCTTGTACCTCCTCCATGCATTCAGATGTGGCTCACTCCCAAATAAAACAATTTAGGTGTGTTCAATAAAACATGGCACTACAGGATCTGATTTCTCTACTCTCAGGGAAGCAAATGTATTAACAGGAAATATCTGCACCATTTTTCTTCATTATCATACATTTATTCCTTCTTTTTCCCCCTCACCACTTTTTAATTTTTTTTTTCTCTCTCCCTACCTCAGCGTTTCTGCGCCTTACCTGTGGATTCCCATTTTCATGTTCCACATCCTTTTATACCTCCATATCCCTCCCTTGGTGGTTCTCTAACTGCTTTCCTCCTCTCTCCTTTTCCCCTTACTCTGCTTTTCTAATGAATAGATATCAATCATCATCCTTCCAGTCCCAACTTACCAATACACCTTCACCTTAGTCTTTACTTATGGTACCTCTTTTCCTATATTCTTACCACATTACCTATGGTCCGCTTAACCTCCTTGTCACGGTACAGGGGCCCTGCCAATTATTAATTTGGCTTAATCCTCTTATTAATTCCTTGTACCAAACATCCCCAGATTCAATTACAGTATGTCCTCCGTGTCCTCCTGCCAAATGGCCCAAATTCAATTACTGTAGTTTCCTCCTCCCTGCCAGCTTGCTACATGTCCTCAAATTGCATTAACCAATTCCCTCCACCAGGTCCTTTTGATGTCTCCAGGGGCCCAGTGTCATCCTGGCCCCCCTCCCTGTGTCCCCTGTCTCCAAACCTGTTTTTCTCCCTGTTACCAATTGACCCCCCTCCACCTCTCATCCTGCTGCGCAGGACGAGAGATGCGGCTTTCACCACCCCTGCCACTATCTTTTCCTCCTCCGGCGCGGCCGGAGAGGGTAGCGAGGTTCATATCGTGTCTGCAGGAAAGGGCCAAGGAGCTGTCCCTTACCTGGAGGGGCCTAGCCAAAGACGATCTGGTCACAGCCATTGCAGAAGCTGCTCTCCAACACGCCCCAGCAAGGGAGGAGAGCAGACCAACCCCAGCCTCCCCAGCATGCAAGGGCCCAAAAGCCCCTGGCTTACTTGGGTGGAGAAAGAGATGGCCCTCCTGGGGCCAGATGCCACAGTAGAGGACAAGTGATAGGCTATCCGGAGGGCACACGAAAGAGAAAGCCAAGGGAGCCACTGTGAACTAAGCTGTCCTTCCAGCCCCAGGACTGTGGGTTACCCCCCTCCCCGGGTCAGCCGCAAGGACTTTAAACCCTTCAATGAAGCCACCGGGGATGTGGAGGGGTTCTTTCAGGACTTTGAGCAGCAGTGCTAGGTCATGGAGGTGCCAAGCAAGGATTGGATACGGCACCTCGTGGGTCTACTGGAAAGGGGGTGCGGACGCAGCCTACCGCACTCTGGATTACTTGGACAGCCGAGATTACACCCGGGTCAAACAGACTGTGTTGGAGTATTACACGGTGACACCAGAAGCGCACCAGGTAAGACCAGGTACCTGTGTCTTACTTTCTATCCCTGGGAGACCAGGCACCCTGTCGTATCCGTGGGCATATGCTTTTCCCTGTTTTACTTGAACTGTTCCTGTGTTGACCCCCCTACTCCCCCTGTTGGATTACAATCTGCTACAGAGACTTGTTCTTTGCCCCCCGTACTGGACTACAAGTGTTTTAGCCCCTCCTGGCTGTTCCCCTACCGGCGAGTTTCACCCTCCCTGCATACCCCCTATTGAGTGACTGTCATCTTTTTGTCTCAATAAAGCTTTGTGCGTTTGCCATCTATTCTGTGTGCTCTGTCCTGCCTACACTCCGTCACACTCCTGTTTTACCCACTGAAGCTGTAAAAGAGCTTCTCAATCAGTGGAAATTATCTATACCTATATTTTGTAATAAGACCGACTACAAATGTGATATGAAGTTGGATTTTTAAATTCCACTTGCTACGTGCCCTGCCTCATCTTTTGTAATACTGTAATATTTTATTAAAACCAATATCTCTGCACAATCCCAACTCTAACAATCACTCCCACACCCTGAAAGAAAAGTAAACAACTTTGACCCTTGAAAGTCAACATAAATAATAAAGAAATTTTCTTTGTGAATATATCTATCCCAATCTAAACAAAATATACACTAAATAAATTCATAAAATATACAAAAAATAAACATAAATAATGAATAATAAGTGTCCCAAAAACATAAATGTCCCAAACAATGAATGTCCAAAAATTGTCTCTATTTAACAATGCCTTTTCCACCTCCAAAACAAATAGTGTCCTTCTTTAATTAATCCAACGTAACGTTTCCAAATTCTTCGTGTACCTCAAAAAATATAAACTTATGATAGTGTATTATCTTTTACATAAATCAACAAAGTGCCGCAAATCGTGTATCATGCAAACTGCATATCATGTGCACTCACACGTGGGGAAAAAAAAAACGTAATTAATAAATAAATACAAATACAATAAAAATCCAAACCAACACCTTAATAAAGATGCACACGTGAATAAACTCCAAACTTTTTTTTTTGTGAAAAAGTCCAGGAAGTGACGAAACGCGTCGGTACACGTGACGTCTGACGCACTCACGCAGAACCGGAATTAAAGGAAGACACTATTTGTTTTGGAGGTGGAAAAGACATTGTTAAATAAAGACAATTTTTGGACATTCATTGTTTGGGACATTTATGTTTTTTGGGACACTTATTATTCATTATTTATAGTTATTTTATGTATATTTTATGAATTTATTTAGTGTATTTTTTGTTTAGATTGGGATAGATATATTCACAAAGAAAAGTTCTTTATTATTTATTATTATGTAATATTTTATTGTTGTATTCTGAAACAAATTCCATTGTCTGTAAGCTTGCAAATATATTGTGAATTTGAAAAAAAAGAAAATACCTTACCTCCTCATTGGTTCCCCTTTCTCTTGGTAAGGCTGTCTCTGCTTTTGCTATTGCAGTGGTTAGTTGGTCTCCAAATAATGTTTCAGAAACATTGCCCAACACAACATTACTAACTATGGAATCTTCTTTTGAATGCTCTGCATCATCATCATTACGTCTGCCAACCTCAACAGCAGTGGTGTTCTTAGTTGTATGAGGCATAAGCCAACTTCTGTAGTCCAAATCGGGCTTTGATTTGTCACCTTCTTTTAGGTTTGGATGGAGAAGATCCAGCTGAGGAGCACCATAATCATCTGTGTAGTCAGCCAAATCCTCCAGGCTGGGGTTCTTGATTAAGGAGGACAGATCCTTAAGACTGGCCATATCCTCCTCTGGATCACTTTGATCTCCAAGCAAATATTTTCCATTAGGCACAAGATTTGGTAAGGAAATATATCTCCGAGAAGGCCTAAGAACAAATGTTAAGTATGATGGCATGCGCTCAAATTTTTGGGGTTCACAGCTCTCTTTATGTTGGCAGTCCAAAATATAACACTGTCTGCCCAATAACCAGGCAAGGTCACAGCCTGAGTAGTTGCAACAGGCAATAGCACACTCTGTCATAGTCCTGGCATTTGGAACTCTAATGAGGTGCTTATTTTGTAAATTAACAGCTGCATTGACAAAGGAGGCACCCTCTCGACACTGGTCACATATATATCCTGGAGGATGTGAAAAAAAAGTGTTATATAATACATTTGCCTAATTTTCTTTTTTTTTTTTTTTTTTTACATGTTTTACATGTTTATTGGATTTACAGATGTAACAAAAGTGTCTCCAGTCATTACAGTTGTACAGTTAGCTAAATCAGTGTAAGTTATAGGGAGAACCATTTAAATCTCACAATAGTAATACAATCACAATATAGTATTTAAGGAGAAACAGCATAGCATCAATGTAATTAACCCTGGTAATTAATCCTTTTAATTGTAGATGTGATTTGTTACCAGTAATGATGCAAATTGGAACATCTCCAAAACATATACATATTAAAAGTAATATTAAAAGTCAGGTAAACAAAACAAACAAATATGTCATACCAACCTGCTCTGTGCAGTGGTTTTGCGCAGAGCAGCCCCAATCCTTCTCTTCTTGCATTCCTCGTTGGTGCTCCTGGCACGGCACCTCCCTCCTGTCAAGTGCCCCCAGAGCAAGCAGCTTGCTATGGGGCACCCAAGCAGGCTTGCTCCCGAGCCACTGCTTTGCATGTCCATATACACATAGAGCTGTGGCTCAGCCCTGCCCCTCTCTCTCCTTATTGGCTCAGTGGCTGTGATTGATCAGTGGCTCCCGCTGCTGTCTCAGAGAATGAGGAGGATTGCAATGGGGCTCAGGTAAGTATTAAGGGGGTTTAGGGGGCTGCAGCACACAGAAGGTTTTTTACCTTCATGAATAGAATGCAAGAAGGTAAAAAACCTTGATCCTTTACATCCACTTTTTTGTGTCTTCCTTCCAATTGCACCTTGGGCATGTTTGGTAAAATCTCCAACTGTAGCTAAATAACTCCAAGGAGTATATGTGTGCCTAATAATAGATAATTGAGTGAATTGTGGTGTGTTAAATGAGGAAACCTGTGAGAATCAATGCTTTGTCTCAGTGTACCTCTGCTATCTGCCCTGCATCCTCTTTCCATCCCTCTTTAGACCCCATGCACACTGAACGCCTTTTCTCCTGGAAGGAGAGAAGCTGATAAAAAATTGCGCCTAAAGCCACCATTTCTGCTTGTGTTTAAGCATTTGAATGTTAATGGATTCCATTGATCAGAATATTAATTTGTTCCAGAAAAAGGCAAAAAAAATTAATTTATTCTGGTTATTGGGATGGAAGAAAGCTAAAGTGCTAAACAAGTCTGGTATTTAAAGTAGAACTTTAGTCATTAAATTAAATTCTGCTAGATCCATTCAGATTAACCCCTGCAAGAATGCAGCCAGAGAGAAGGAGAAATGATTGTTTTTACAGCCTTTATAGGTGTAAAAGCAATCAGTGTAAAAAAAAAAAAATCTTCATCACCCCCCACAAGTAGTACAGTGTCACTATGGTGACACTGTACTGCTAGGGTGACAGTATGTTAACAAAACATAAATAACAATATAAAAAATTAAATAAAAATAAAAATTTTTGAAAAATTATCATTTTTGGTTATAAACTTTTTTTTTTACTAAAAAGATAACGGAATACATTTTGGCCAAAATTTATGAAGAAAGATTATTTATTTGCAAAATTTTATGAGAAAAAAACTTTTTTAAAACTTTTTGGACATTTTCATTTATATAGCAAAAAAAACAAATCCAAGTGGTGAATAAATACCACCAAAATAAAGTTTTTATCTGTCTCAAAAAAATGCTAAAAAATTCATATGGGCACAGTGTTGTATGATCGCGCAATTGTCATTCAAAGTGTGACAGCGCTGAAAGCTGAAAATTGGCCTGGACAGGAAGGGGATAAAAGTGCCCAGACATGAAGTGGCTAAAATCCAATAATACCATGTCTCAGCCTGCTCTGCACATGCTCAGTTGCTCTTTATTTTTAGGCACTATGCCAAACTTTTAGAGGCTAATCTGCTGACAGCCGAAAGATTTAACGCTGCTCAGGACTCTGGGCTTCAGCAAAATGGCAAGAAGAAACAGGAACAATGCTGGAGGCAAATTACAGCACACACTAATTTTGGTAGTGTAATTATTAGTGCGGAATGTATGTTTCTTGCTAAAGAACATTATTTTTTATGGAGCTGTTATGGGTAAAGTGCATTTAGATGCTTTTACATGCGTTTAGGCACTTAAGCATTTTTTCTGCCCAAAAGCTCCTCTCCTGAATACACTGGTGATGTTTTTTTTCCCCTGTAAACACTCTCCTTCTATGTCTGTAAACATTTATGTCTGTATGGACACATAGGCAAACACAGGGGTGTGTTTATAGGCAGAAAAAAAACCATCAAACGCTTGTAAAAGCAGTGTTTCTTAAGCCCAGTGTGCATGAATGCTAACGCACTAATGATGCTGGAGTGGTCCTCCTGCTTATCAGAGCAGTATAAACTTTTAAAAATACTAACATTTATAGGTAAAGTTGATCCAGGGAATATCTGATTGCCTCTCGGGGGATCAGGAAGGAATTTTTTTCCCCTGCAAATTAGATCGTGCTTTGCTGGGGTTTTTTTTTTTCCTTCCTCTGGATCAACTGTGGGTATAGGATTTTTTTTTTTATAACAATGGTTGAACTGGATGGACGTTTGTCTTTTTTCAGCCAGACTAACTATGTACTATGTAACCTTCAGTAGAGTGGGGTATAGCAATAAGGGGTAAAAGATCTATTTCACTATATGCCAATGGGCGTACGCATTCCTGTGTTTTAATAGAATGTCTAAGTTTTAAATAGCAGTAGAATTTCTCCCTTGTTCCCAAGAATTCCTCTGTCAAATGTTGGAAAATTTTTAGGAGATGTTATCATAAAATATTTGATACACATTCTGCTCCACCTCTTTTCAAACCTTTACCTCTGTGCTAATCTTGCAGGTTGGAATTTCCCAATAATGGTGTATATAGGTTGTAACCAGTATAGTTCAGAGTATCTTTCATTTTAGCCCATGCTTTAAGCATCACGTTTAGCATACGAAGTGGTGTGGGAGAGCAACCCACATTCATAGAGATTAATACTTTTTTATTAATAAGTTTTCCTGCCAGTAGTTAAAATCAAGGATTTTACTTGGTTTTCCTTATTACAATAGTCTTCTTGTGTAACAATTTGTTGGAGCTTAGCTGCCAAGAAGTAGAGCCAGGGGTTCACCATGGTCTGGTGGGTACTGAAGCGTGGGAAGTTTTATTCTAGGACCAATTTTCTTTCCTACTTTTAAAACTTGTTTTATAGTAATATTGGTACATACTGATTTAAGAAAATTCTCAGCAAGCATTATAGGCTAGGTTTATTTTGGGCTAGGTCAGCATATCATTATTTATTTTGTTTTTACATTACCTTATTTTACATACCACATTTTAATTAATAAGTATGTTTTCACATAGGCTATGTTTACATGTATGGCAGTCTCTTCCACAGTGGATCACTTTTCAGGCCATAAAGCAGCTGCTTACAGGCATTCAGGAGGTTCTTGAATGCCTGTTTTTGGGGGGTTTTTCTGCCAAGCAAGAATTTTGAATGGTCAAACATGTCAAACATTACATTTTAAGTCACATTACATTTTCTTAAAACAATGAACACAATTATATTGCTAGAGGTGGTTGGGTGTTTTTTGAGTGTTCAGTATGTAGAATTTAATATTATTGGAGATTAACTTTCTGTAATTGGGGCATAGAAGCAAAAACAAAAATAGAGGCTTGCTTTGTTTAATTATTTAATATGAAAAAATAGTCAATTACCAAATTTGTCTTTTTTTTTTACGCATGTGACTTGAACATTTTTTTTTGCAAAGAATTATCATGAGATAAAATACGACAACTGCAGCTATTGCAAACACCTTGAGGGTTTTAATCAAGCAAAAAGGTAATTTTCTGCCTACAGCCTGTTGTCTGCTCTTCAATGCAGACATGGCATTGTGTACATATACAATTCACAGAAGTGTACATATATTTTAACACTAGCTAAGGTCTGAAGGTCATGCTAAGTCTATGTTAGGGACGGACTGATCATTTGGAAACTCGGGGGCGCTGCCCAAGGGCCCGGGGTCAGTAGGGGGCCTCATGAGATGCCCCTGGTACCTTTTTCATAGGCTTTTTTGAGTTTGGGCAAGGACACAAGGGCCCCATGATCCCCTATTGCCTGGGGGCCTCATGATTTGTCAGTCCGCCCCTGGTCTATGTCTACTTTTAGTTTACGTAACACATGAATAACATAATAGTGACACCCTTGGCTCACTTATAAAATCTATTTGCAAAAATGTAAAACCCAACCAGAGGAGGCAATAGTTGTAGCCAAATTGGAGCTGATCTGACCCAAAACATTCTGAAGTCAAGAATTAGCCCATCCTTCTGGATCCCTGTCCCATCTCCTGTCCTTCAACTGCCAAATGTAAAGCCTGGGTCTAGGTCCCTAGGGTTCCATAGGGACTAATCTGAAGACTAACACAGGTACAGTGCTTGCCAGCACTGCATGGTGCCTGCACACTGTTATTATCAGTTTTGATAAAAATGTGAGGAAAAACATTTATTCAGTTATACTTATTCACACACATTAAATAAAAGTGAATTGTCTTACCAGTAACAGTGCACAACCAGATAAACCAAGTGCAAAGGCACAGAGTCATGATGCCGGGTTACTTCACCGTGTGTCCTCAGTTCTCGCTCTTATCCTTTTGTGACTTATTCATATTCTTGTATTAAGCCTGTAATATAAGAATAGAATAACATTTAAAAAATGACAGATAAAAGAGAAGTATGGGATTTTTTTTAGTTTTCAAATTATACTTACCTAGGTGGATGCAGCATTCCAATCCTGCAGCAACCTGATGCTGCATGTGTCCTCCACTGGCTCAAAGTGTGAGAACTCCGCAATCACATGACCGCTGATCGCCGAGTTCTCTCCGCCACTGTGAACAGATCGTTGAGAGGCTGAGCCACGTGCCACTCCAGACTCTGGGGTAGATCCGTCTCTGGGGTAGATCCCCAGCCTGGACCAGCTAAGTGACGTCAGCCGACAGCGGGCTACTATAAACGGGTCACAGGAGTGCAGACCGAACTGCACTCCTGTGATCCACAAAAGAGCTTTTGCTGTACTTCTCCTTTAAAGTTTGTTTTTTAGAGGAACATACAACTGTATTTTAATCCCCTGCAGATATTTCACTGTCAAATCACACTACGTTTTTATGAAACCCTACACTCCTACCCTACACTCCTACTATTTCCACATTTTTCACTGTTATTGCCATCCCCTAGGCTCCAGCACGAACATCCCTTGCAAGTCTCAAGCCAACTGACTTCTAAGGTTTTCATGTATTGTAGCGTTGATCTTTGAAGGAAGTTACTTTCAAGTGAAGGGCTACTTTTCAAGGCTCTAAAATACAAATCAAAATAAGGCAACATGCTCTGAACTACTGCTATTAGTAGTAAACTCAAAGAGAAGCAACAATAGAACTCCAGGTAATATAAGAACTTCAGAGGCAGAGATGGGGCTGTGTATGGTGTACACTGGCAGGATGTCAAAATTAGCTGGTGACAGATTTAATGCATTCAGATTTTTGTATCACTGCACACGTTTTAACATGTAGTATTTTAAACAGACCATAAATAGACTGACAATACATGGCAGTGGAAAAAAATGCTGATCTGCAGCCCCTTTTTGTAACACAACAAGGCATGGTACTCATGTTATGGTGCTCTGCAGCGCAAGTAAATAGGCAACTATTAGGACTCATGTACACTGCAGCTGCTAATCTGACGTTCATTAGCTGTTCAGCGTTTTTTTCAGCAGCCCTGAACTCTCCCTAATGTTTTCCTATGTGTCCATGTACAGATAGTCGTTTACAGGCAGTTGAGTTTACACTCATTTTTTTTTAACGCACCAAACTTGCGTTCAGAAGTAGATTTTTCAAACGTCAAACGCTTGTAAACGTTAACCACATTTATAAGCATTTGCGTTTTGAAGCATTTTTTAACTGTTCCATATCCAGATGCTGTCCAGAGTCTTTTTTCATTATCAGAAATGCATGCAAAGCATTTTCCATGTATTCAAATGGACCTAGTACACCAGCGCAGTCAGTTCCAGGTTTCATGTGAAGGAAAAAATGGTAGAACGTGCTGCATTATGCTCATGATGGGATCCATAGTGAATACAACCAGAAAAGACAAGTAATCTCAACACATACTGCTCTCTCTGCTTCTGCTCTCTCTATTCCTCTCAAAATGTCTGAAATAGTTAATTATTTACTATTTTTCAGTGCATTCTGGGCATTTGGGAAGGTCTCCTGAGGTTATCTTTTAAAAATGTTTCTAAACGCAAACACTTCTAAACGCGGTATGCAAATGAAGTTAAACTGACATTTTTTTAACCTACGTTTTCCAGCAATCAGTTTCTATCATTCAGAAGAGTTTTCCAAATGCCCCGTGTACATGAGCCCTTATACTTGTGTATTGGGGTAATATGTAGAGTGGATGGTTGGAGGAATCCCCCCACCAGGACTTTGTATTTTGACACTGGCAACAACAGTTCCACGGCTGTCAGAATACACTAATCAGCGACTGCAGTTGCTGATTGAGGAAAAATTTCCAACCTGTCTGTTTGCAACTTCTGTCAAGTGGGGATGGACATACACTAATCGAAAATGGGCCATGCCCCTGTCAGGGACCTTTAGAATGTATATTGGCACCAGGCAGGGATGTCCATTATCCCTGTTATTGTTTGTATTATCCCTGGAACCACTTTTGACATCGGTAAGAAAGAGTATAGATAGGAGGAGTAGAACATAAGGTAGCAGCATATGCAGATGATATGCTGTTTTACATAGTGAACTCTAGACTGACGCTGCCCAACTTAATGGGGCTATTCAAACAGGATGGAGAGTTATCTAATTTGAAAATAAACCCTACAAAATCTGAGATTCTAAATATTAACATGTCTAAGGTAGAGAGGATGAACTTACTGGAAGACTTTCCATTTACATGGAGTGAAAGGGAATTAGGCTATTTGAGAATAAAATTAACCCCCGCAATAAAGGATTTATACAAAGTTAACTATATCCCATTAATAAATGAAATTGAAGATGAGTTGAGAAGACTCTCAGGGGGGCGGGTCTCATGGATTGGGCGTATAAATCTGGTTAAGATGGTAATAGTCCCAAAAATTCTATATAAGTTTCAAATGCTCCTAATAAATGTACCCAGATCCTTTTTTAGGATAATAAGAAAATTGATATCAAGGTTTATATGGGCTAATAAGAATTAAGTATGAAACTATGTTATAATAAAGAGAAAGGAGGATTAAATCTGCCAAATATGAGGAAGTATTGCATGTCAGTGTTATTATCACAGGTGGAAGATTGGACACATAATTCACAAGAGAAAAGTTGAGTTAAAATGGAAGGTATATTAAGCAACACACAATTGGAGAGGATCATTTGGATCCCATGAAAGTTTCAGGTAATGGATGAAAATAGCAGCATATTGACATGGGAAGTGTTGAGAATTTGGGATGGTTTGTACAAGTCGATGGGGTGGAAATATAATTCATTATTGTTGCCGTTGGTGGGCACAGAATTTTTTTCCTCCTGGGAGAGGGATTGTTTCGGGGAAATGGTTTAAAGATAGAAATGCACATTTGGGAGATATAGTGGATAAAGGGAAGTTATGCACTTTTCAACAATTAAAGAGTAAAAAGGACTTGTTTGTTGTGTTAGATGAATTGAGATATTGTCAATTAGGACCTTTTGTCTCAACGCTCCCCAAACCACTAAGGATGGTGTAGGACAGTGGTTCTCAACCTTTCTAATGTCGCGACCCCTTAATACAGTTCCTCATGTTGTGGTGACCCCCAACCATAAAATTATTTTCGTTGCTACTTCATAACTGTAATTTTGCAGTGGGAGGAATAGTGCCCCATCATTGGTATCAGTGGGAGGAATAGTGCCCCATCATTGCTGTCAGTGGGAGGAATAGTGCCTCATCATTGGTGTCAGTGGGAGGAATAGTGTCCCATCATTGGTGTCAGTGGGAGGAATAGTGCCCCATCATTGGTGTCAGTGGGAGGAATAGTGTCCCATCATTGGTGTCAGTGGGAGGAATAGTGTCCCATCATTGGTGTCAGTGGGAGGAATAGTGTCCCATCATTGGTGTCAGTGGAAGGAATAGTGCCCCATCATTGGTGTCAGTGGGAGAAATAGTGTCCCATCATTGGTGTCAGTGGGAGGAATAGTGCCTCATCATTGGTGTCAGTGGGAGGAATAGTGCCCCATCACTGATGTCAATGGGAGGAATAGTGCCCCATCATTGGTATCAGTGGTAGGAATAGTGCCCCATCATTGGTGTCAGTGGTAGGAATAGTGCCCCATCATTGGTGTCAGTGGTAGGAATAGTGCCCCATCATAGGTGTCAGTGGGGGGAATAGTGCCCCATCATTGGTGTCAGTGGGAGGAATAGTGCCCCATCATTGGTGTCAGTGGGAGGAATAGTGCCACGTCATTGGTGTCAGTGGAAGGAATAGTGTCCCATCACTGATGTCAATGGGAGGAATAGTGCCCCATCATTGGTATCAGTGGTAGGAATAGTGCCCCCATCATTGGTGCCAGTGGTAGGAATAGTGCCCCATCATTGGTGTCAGTGGGATGAATAGTGCCCCATCATTGGTGCCAGTGGTAGGAATAGTGCCCCATCATAGGTGTCAGTGGGGGGAATAGTGCCCCATCGTTGGTGTCAGTGGGAGGAATAGTGCCCCATCGTTGGTGTCAGTGGGAGGAATAGTGCCCCATCGTTGGTGTCAGTGGGAGGAATAGTGCCCCATCGTTGGTGTCAGTGGGGGGAGGAATAGTGCCCCATCGTTGGTGTCAGTGGGGGGGAGGAATAGTGCCCCATCATAGGTGTCAGTGGGGGGAATAGTGCCCCATCATTGCTGTCAGTGGGGGGAATAGTGCCCCATCATTGGTGTCAGTGGGGGGAATAGTGCCCCATCATTGGTGTCAGTGGGGGGAATAGTGCCCCATCATTGGTGTCAGTGGGGGGAATAGTGCCCCATCATATGTGTCAGTGGGGGGAATAGTGCCCCATCATTGGTGTCAGTGGGGGGAATAGTGCCCCATCATTGGTGTCAGTGGGAGGAATAGTGCCCCATCACTGGTGTCAGTGGGAGGAATAGTGTCCCATCACTGGTGTCAGTGGGAGGAAAAGTGCCCCATCGTTGGTGTCAGTGGTAGGAATAGTGCCCCATCACTGGTGTCAGTGGGAGGAATAGTGCCCCATCATTGGTGTCAGTGGGGGAATACGGCCCCCATTATTGGTGTCAGTGGGAGGAATAGTGCCCCATCATTGGTGTCAGTGGGAGGAATAGTGCCCCATCATTGGTATCAGTGGGAGGAATAGTGCCCCCATCATTGGTGTCAGTGGGAGGAATAGTGCCCCATCGTTGGCATCAGGGGGAGCAATAGTGCCCCAACATTGGTGTCAGTGGGAGGAATAGTGCCCCATCGTTGGTATCAGAGGGAAGTATAGTGCCCCATCGTTGGTTTCAGTGGGAGGAATAGTGCCCCATCGTTGGTGTCAGTGGGGGGAATAGTGCCCCATCATTTGGTGTCAGTGGGAGGAATAGTGCCCCATCATTGGT